AGGTACAACTAACATGCGATTTGAGGGTCCACCTGGATGAATTTTCCCATATGTCTACATATCACCCAATCAAGATAGAGGACAGTTGGGGCGCCTGGCTGGCTCAGTCGTTTAGCGTCTGCCTTCGGCTCAGGTCATGATCCCAGGGTCCTGGGGTTGAGCCCCGCATCGGGCTCCCTGCTCAGCGGGAAGCCTGCTTCTCCCTCTCCCACTCCCCCTGCTTGTGTTCCCTCTCTCGCTATGTCTCTCTCTATCAAATAAATAAATATAATCTTTAAAAAAAAAAAAAAAAAGATAGAGGACAGTTCCAGCGCCCCAGAGTCTCCTTCGTGCCCCTTCCCAGGCATAATTCCCAACAGTGAGCACTATCCTGATTTCCAACACCACAGATTAATTTAGCCTGTTTTTGAACTTCACGTAAGTGGAGTCATGCCCTGGGTGCTTTTTGGATCTTCTCTCTCTCTATTTGTTTGTTTGTTTGTTTGACAGAGAGAGACACAGCGAGAGGAACCATGGAGGAACACAAGCAGGGGGAGTGGGAGAGGGAGAAGCAGGCTTCCTGCAGAGCAGGGAGCCCGATGTGGGGCTCGATCCCAGGACCCTGGGATCATGACCTGAGTGGAAGGCAGACAGTTAACAACTGAGCCACCCAGGTGCCCCTGGATCTTTTTTTAAGTCCATCACATCAGTGAGGTTTAACCATGTTGTGGATAACAGTACTTTGCTCGTTTTTATTGTCACGATTCTTCCATGGTGTGACTACATGGCAATATTTTTCCATTCTCCTGTTGATGGGTGTGGGAGGCTGGGTTCCCCAGGGAGCAGCCCCTGAGACAGAGATTACTGACGGGGCTCATTAGTGAGTATTCTTGGGGTCAACACCTGTGGAAATAGTACTGGACGGGGGGAGAGCCGGACTATGGTACTTACACAAGAACCGCAGTTGACCACATGAGGGTAGCGCTCCAGCCGCCGGAAGTTCTTCGTTCCTGAAGCGGGATCTGAGCAGCACATCAGAGCCTCCAGCACAATGGACATTTGGGTTGTTTCTGGTCCGGGGCTATTATGAATAACGCGGCTCTGAGCATTCACGACTGGTCTTTGTGGACATATGCACCCGAGTCTCTTGGGCATTCACCTAGGAGTGGCATCTCTGTGTCATTAGGTAGGTGGACCCACAATTTTAAAAGAAACTGACAAATCCTTGCTGACCACCTACTGTGCACATGGCCTTGAGTGTTCTAGGGGCTGGTTCCTAGGCATGGCAGCCCCTTGCCCTCCAAGCCCCTTGCCCTCCCAGTGGGGAACAGCTGAACATGGCAAGTATAATAAGGTAGGGTCCCAGGACCCTGGTGGCAGGAGAGACAAGGGGCTTGGCTGCCTAGCAGTCCCCAGATTGGGCTGGGCTCCCACTGGCTTCCCATTTCTGCTCCACCACAGTTGGCATGAGCCCTGGGCGAGCGCTCAGCTTCCTCAGCTGTACGGTGGGGACCGAAACAGCTCTCCAGCAGCTAGCTTCTCAGAGCGCTTGAGGCTACTTAGGAAATGCTTCTGTGGAAGGCCTTTGAAATGATGGGGCCCTGGGCAAATGATGAAGGCTGACTGCCAGTGAGGGAATCCTGGGCAGGGATGGAGGGACTATGAGGGGCCTCGGGGTCAGGAGAGGAGGTGTGGAGGCCTCAGAAGCCTCAGCCCTCTGACCTCCTTGCCTGGGGGTGCCTCTCCTAGCTTTGAGGGCCTCAGCACATCCTGCAGTACGGACTATAGCCACCAGGGGACGAGTCAAGAACTGTCTTGGAGCAAACAGGCACAACAGCTGCGTAGGTGGCTTGGAGGGGAGGGAAGGTCTCCATTCAGGTAGCAACAATCCATAAAGCTCCTACTGTGGGGTCGGCAAGGAGGACCACTAAATGCTTAGAAGGCTGCAAAGTGGCCTAAGTGAAGAGACATGGAGGGGGCATAGTGCCACAAGGGATGCAAACCCTCACAGACCCCAAGATCAGACATCTGACTCCTAGCTGCCTCTGACCAGGGTCCTGTAACCCTTAGTTACTGTTTTATTATTTTTTTTAAGATTTTATTTATTTATTTGAGAGCGAGCGAGAGAGAGAGAGCAGGAGCGGGGTGAGGGGCAGAGGGAGAAGCAGGCTCCCCACTGAGCAAGGAACCCGATGCGGGGCTCGATCCCAGGACCCTGGGATCATGACCTGAGCCAAAGGCAGACGCTCAACCGACTGAGCCACCCAGGCGCCCCATAGTTACTGTTTTAAAAACCTGTAAAAATGCCTCAGGAAATAGGTTAAGTTGCATCCTGAAAAGTCCGTGGGATGTTCTTCTGCCTGAGAGAACAAACGTAATGTGCTATGTTTGCAAGAAAAAAAATAATAGTAGCGCGCAGCTTAGCGGTAGTTCCAGGATGGCAAACTTCTGCCCTTGTACCCTAGAGATAACAGCACTAATACAATTTGTTGCGAATTATCCCTAATTCCAGGCCCCTAAAGCGGGACCACCAGGTCCCTGAAGCAGAAGCACCAGCTCACCACAATCAGTCAGGGAGCTGCCAGGTGATCAAGAAAGGAAATATTAGAGCCGACATAATCCCTAATCAATCAGCATGATCCAAGACCCTAGACCCTTACCCTGGATTCTCATCCTTTAAAACCCCTGCTTGTAAGTCATCGGGGAGCTCGGGACTGGGAGCATTAGCCCCCCATTCTCTTGGGTGGTGCCACACCAACAAATAGCCTCTTTCTTTACTGCAAAAGCTCTGTCAGCTTTTACGGGCTTGGTCTGGTTTCAGTAGCACAGCGGTCAACATGCTGGCTCTCGAGCCCGACGGCCGATGCCAAGTCCTGATTTGTAGTTTACTGCCTTGTGATTGTGTGAACAATGTGCTTCACCTCCTTGTGCCTCCGTTTCCAAGTTTGTAAAACGGGAATGATTACAATAAATAGGTAGTTGTAAGAAATGGCCACGAGGATTAGCAAGTTACTACGGTCCTGGACCTAGAACAGTTAAGTGTGGGACGCTGGTGCAGCCTGGGCAGCCCTGCGCCCCAGATGTCAGGCCGGAGGCAGGATGGCCGCTCCTCAGAACGCCTACTCCCACTGAGGTCCTGAAGATGGAGCTAGACCGCATCAGCCTGTTGGCATCATGTAGTCTGATGTCTACAGCTTGCCGGGTAATTTTCCATCAGGGCTGAGGGGACCTGATTTCCCTGATAAGCTTCCATAATCACTTCTTTTACAAGATCGTGGTTTATCAACAAGGTGCTCTTGGCTCGAGCGCTCTGGTCACCACCCAAGGCAGCCAGTGATCCTGGTGGAGCTAGGGTGGGGGAGGAGGGGGAGGGATCTCTGGGCCCCAGCTCCACCTAGAGATAAGGCGATGCCCTAAGCCTGTATCCCTCAGGTTGGGCCAGTAGGACCATAAAGCGTGGGGCCCTCGCCTCAGACTGGATCAACTGGAACCACCAACCTTGGACTTGCCGTGATTGCTATTGACTTTTCTCACCAGTTTGCCTTTGGCCTTGGAAGACTGCTTCTAGAGGGGGAAACAGAGGGAGGCTGGCCAGGAGTGTGGTGTGGAAGAGAAGGTCCAGGGTCCAGGCAACATCTTCTGAGGGCAACTGAGGCCAGACTGCTGTTACCTCTCCATTGCCAAGACGAAAATCACAGCATGTTGGGGCTAGAAGGGCCCAGAAACTGGCTCACCTTGCCTTCCTGCTTTACACATGGGAACACCAGGGCCCAGGGAGGACAGAGGAGGGCAAGAAAGCACAGGAGGCAGAACCTGGGTCTACAGACCCTCCATCCTTTCCCACCTCAACAACCTCCCCAAATCGGTCACTAGCACCACTGTCCCCAGCTTCTCCGGGGACATGCACGGGGATATCCCTCCTCTTAGCAGAGTTCAGAGTAGTCACTGACCATGGCCTTGATCTGGGGTCTTGGGAAGGGCTTAGCCTGGAGATGGGGGGCCAGGGTACCCATAAGCCTCCAAACTAACCCAGGGCCTTGCCACCTAAAGTGTGTTCTACAGAACCACCTCCTTAGAAAAGTAAAATCCCAGCTATAGCCCCAGGCCTTCTGAATCAATCAGCATTTTAGTAAGATCCCTCAGGAGATTCTCGGGCCTGCTGCAGTGGGGAAGCACCAGGTTAGAATAAGCCATTTTCCCTCCACCAGCCTCAGTTCTCCTATAGAAATGGAGGGGGCGGAAGATCTCTGAGTTTCTTTTTGTTTTTTTTTTTTTAAAGATTTTATTTATTTGACAGAGAGAGCACAAGCAGAGGGAGAGAGAGAGAGAGAAGCAGGCTCCCCGCTGAGCAAGGAGCCCGATGTGGGACTCGATCCCAGGACCCTGGGATCATGACCCAGGCCAAAGGCAGCCGCTTAACCGACTGAGCCACCCAGGCATCCCTGTTTTTGTTTTTAAATAGACTCCACACCCTACATGGGGCTGGAACTCACAAACCTAAGATCAGAGTCGCTTGCCTATGGACTGAGCCAGCCAGACGCCCCAGGTCTTTGGCTTCTTCGCACAGCTAACACGCCCGGAGGCAGGCGTTCAGCATGACCTCCTGTGGGACGATGTGTGTTCTGTATCGGATTTGTGGAAAGTGGAATTCCAACTCCAGCAGGGCGGGGGGGGTGCGGTAATCAGCACTTCTCCCGTTCTGCCTGATTTACCCCTCTCCTCTCTGCCTGAGATCCAGCGCCAGGGCAACCTCACAGGTCCTGGGATGCAGCTAATTCAGTTCAGTCCACTCAAGCAACACTGATTAAGCACCTCCTGTGTGCCCTGGGGTCTGGAGCAGTGAATCTCCACCCTGGCTGTGCATTAGAATCATCCAGCGTGCTTTTAAAAACTACTGATGCTGGACCCCACCCCAGGCCACTGGAATCAGAGTCTCTGGGGGCAGGTCTAGGCGTGAGTACTTACTAAAGTGCCACAGGCAATTACAATGCACAGCCGGGCTGAGAACGACTGGTCAGAAGTAAGGGACAAGTCTATCCTAAATCCTACCCAGGCTAACTCCGGAGTCCCTGCTTCCTTTAGGTCAGCCAGCTGCGGCAGGGTTGCTGCGAGCCAGGGGCAATCATCAGGAAATTCCCCAGATATCATACATAACCCGTGACAGCAACCTTTAATTAATCATCAACCTTGTAACGTGATCCTGGCCCATAACGAGGAGACCCACTGAATCTTTGGAAACCTGTCCACGGGCCTTCTCCAGACAATTCCTTCCAGACCCAGGGACCCGTGCCCGAGGACCTCAGGCTGATGGGGGCCCAGCTCTGCTCCCAGGCTGGTAAGTGGGAGCCCTAAGCTTGGTCCCTAGACCAGGGATGCAGAAGGAGAGGGGAAGCTGTGGAACCTTGGGTGAGTCACTTTTCTCTAGGGCCTCAATTTCTTCATCTGCAGGCCAGCGCCAATGCAAGCCCTGCCAGCTTATGGGGCTACCAGAGGCACAAACCAAAAGGTTACCAGGCATGACAGTTCTCTGAGAGCGTCACCTGAAACCACAGTGTGCCCTTAGTGTGCAGGCAGGAGATGGAGAACCTGGTCTTTTACCACCAGAGGTCTGGACTGCATCTCAGAACTCTGCTCCCTCCCAGGCGGAGAGCCTGGAGCCTCAGCCCTTGGCTCCCGAGGGGCACCGGAGGCTCACACCCCGGCAGCAGGTAGCATCCAGAGCTGGGGAGGGGAGAGGGACGTGATAAGGAGGGTGGGGACCAAGCCACGGTTGGTGCTGCCGCTGTGGCAACTGTGGATTCCAGGTCATGTGGTGCCATAAAGGAGGCAGCGGGGGGGCGGGGGGCAGGGGGCAGGGGCAGGAGCCGGCCCCGGGCTCCTCAGCTGCTGGCTGTGGAGATGTGCAGAACCACCCCGACTCAGCTCCCTCTGCGTGCCTCCCTGCAGGTTGTGGGAGCAATGAAAGATGCTGAAGGGTTCATACCTGGCCCCTAAGAGGCTTGATGGCTGGAGGGGTGGTGATGGAGATGATGAAGATCCAGGGAGGTCCTCGCTGAGCAGAGGGCTGACCCTCAGTCACTTAGACTCCGAGAGACTTACTGCAAAGATTCTCTTTGAATCTGCCTGGGGGTGTGGCTAGGGGGAGACATCCAAAAGTCATGGTGCCTGCCCAAGTGGGCTGTTAACTCCTCACATTCAGGATCTCCAGGCAGGTACCTGGAGACTCCAGGCCATGGCTGGCCATTGATATCGATCCCATTGGTGGGTAAGGAGATCTATACCCAGAGGAGCAGTGACCTGCGTAGGTGAGCGGCAGAGCCGGGACGAGAATCTGGCTATCAGACATGGCTGCCCTCCCCAGAGCCTCCCGGGTGCCTCAGTGACTCTGCGGTGGGCCCAGAGACAATCCATCTGATGTCAGGGCCCTCGACTCCGGCTCTTGGGCACCGTCTGTGCCTACTCGGGGACTCCCCCTTGCTTGTGCATAGCCTCCAGGAAAAGGCATCTGGGCAGACTATCAGGAAGGAAGGGAGAGACGAGGGTATTCCAGAAGGGGGTGACAGTCGTGCAGGGGGCTTGGGTGAGGGAGGGGTGAACTTGGATAGCAGGGTTCAGAGGTCCCCAAGGCCAGAGTGAGTGCTTGTCCCTAAAGCCTCAGGTGAGAGAACCATGGTAGGCTTGCCTTTGGACTGAATCCATCAGGGACAGATTCACTATGACCTCAAGGGTAGCCCTTGTACCTGACCAGATTTAGCCTCCCCTCCTTGTGCCCTGCTGGAATCTTGCGGGCTTGTGAGTGGTCAGAGAAGTGTGGCTGGGGAAACTGGTGAGATCTGGGAGGGGGAGGGCCTTGCTTTTTGGGGGTGGGGTCTGGCTCAAGTTCTGGTTGAATTCCCTTCTATTTTCAGCATCCATCTTCCAACCCAGAAAGAGCAGGACAGAAGGGGAGAGGTGGAGGGGAGAGAGATGAGGCCTGGGAGCTGGCTAAGTGCAGTTGTGGGGCAGGAAGCTCACTTCCTGCTCAGGCTCAGGCCTGGGGCTGGAGGGGAAGGGCTGCTCAGTAGGGAACTTCCTCTCTTGACTGCCAAGTGGAGTCGGGTTGGGAAGTCCCCCCATTTTAAAGCCCAGCCCTGGGCCTTAGCTGGCCCAGGCCAGGATTCTGAGGGGCAGACCAGGGACTCCTTCTCCAGCCTGTGCCCCCTCCTCCCACCTCACCCTGTGGGGGCACTGATGGACCCCTTTCTGTTCCCAGAAAAGGAAGTCACCCTCACTGGGGGCCATGGCCTTCATAAATGGTGCAGGTTCTCTGTGGGACAATGATAAAGTCAGACAAACAGAGAGGGAAAGAGCGCGAACACCAGGACCCATCTACCAGAGCTCACCACAATTAGCAAACCCATCCCTTTCAGGCTGTTTCTAGATACAGACAGAATATATCTACGTATATTAAACATATAAACATGTGTCGAAGAAAACCTGGATCATATTATATCTACTGTTCTAAAACCTGCTCTTTCTGTTTCGTGCAAATAACCATTACCAGGTATTGAGAGCCGGTACAGGCATGAGTTCGTTTAATTTTTACAACATTCCTCCGGGAGGGGCACTGAGGCTTGGGGAAGTTCCCGGCGGAACTCAGATCCCGGGCACGCTAAGCAGGTTCCTCACCAGGCTTTGATCAGGTCTCGGGAGGGCGGGGGTGTCCCCTGGATGAGAGCACGGGCAGTGGCCCCGGGGGGATGGGGGGTGTGGAGATAACTCTGGGGAGCGGGTGAGTCGGGTCCAGACCGCACTGACGCCCCCACCCCCACCCGACCCCTACAGACGCCAAGGCGCCGCGAGAGACACTCCGCTTCCACGCCGAGGCCAAGGGCGCGCAGGTGCGTCTGGACGCCGAGCGGTGCACTGCGCACAGGCGCGCCACGTTCCACGACGGCATCGTGTTCAGCCAGCGGCCGGTGGCGCCGGGCGAGCGGGTGGCGCTGCGCGTGCTGTGGCACGAGACCGGCTGGTGCGGCGGGCTCCGCGTGGGCTTCACGCGCCTGGACCCCGCGCGCTTGTCCGCGCCCAGCCTGCCGCCCTTCGTGTGCCCAGACCTGGAGCAGCAGAGCCCGACATGGGCGGCCATGCTGCCCGAGGGCGGCGCGCTGCTCGGGGACGTGGTCCGCTTCTGGGTGAACCGCGGCGGCCGGCTCTACGCCAGGGTCAACGCGGGCCCCCGGCTCCTGCTGCGCAAGGGCGTGCTCCTGGGCGCCCCGCTCTGGGCCGTGATGGACGTGTACGGGACCACCAAGGCCATCGAGCTGCTGGGTGAGGCACCCCCGGGGACCCAGGCACCGCCCCTGGGTGGGAGGTGGAGGCTCGGGTGGTACTGCGCCCCACTCACAGCCGTGGGGAGATCCGTTCAGTTTTTCATATACAGTTTTTACATCAGCTCCTACCCAGGGTCAGGTAGGAAGATGGGTGCTGGGGACGCCAGATGGACAGGACCCAGTCAAAGGGAGGGCAACCTTGCCCCTAGAGAATACTAAGAAGATATGACTAGCACTTCAAACATTCTGTTAAAGGGCTGTTTCCCAAAGGGAGAGATTGGAGACTGGGTTTTGCTGTCTAAGTAGGAGTTCACAAGAGTCAAGGGTGGCGAGCAAAGGGAACATAAGTATGAGCGTTAGATGTGCACCGGAAGACTGCTTGTGGGGGTACAGTCCGCCGTTCTGTCAATGGATGGGCAAACCAGAACCATCCCTCTAGCCACCTGAAAGGAGGAGTGTGGATTTCAGGGAGAGTGGATAAAGGAAACAGCCTTAAAAAGAAATATTGGCGTTCCTGTGCTGGTCGTCCAGGGCCTACACAAGCAGTCCATTCTCCCCCCATTTTTAAAATCACTTGTCACAGATGCTGAAGCCTCACCCCTGGAACACCTGTTTTGGTAGGTCTGGTGTGGGCCCACCCATTTTCCTGGCCCCCTGGGGTCTCCAGTCAGGCAGCAACAGTAGGGCAAAGAGGAGATGTCCAAAGGATGGGTGGGGTGGTTTAAGAAAAAGAATCTACAGCCTCAGGAATTCTCTGCTGGGTTAAACCAGGGAAGGGACGGCTCGGGCGGTAAGATCAGCTGGGAGTTCCAGCACTGCAACCCAGGAAAGAAAGCCCATGGAACTACCTCCGGGGCTGGTGGGGGTGGGGTGGGAACACCCTGGCTTTGCTTTCCCTGGGCCCTGAGTCTCCCTCTCTACCTCAGATCCCAGGGCCAGCGTCTTCCCCTCAACCATGCCATGGCCCTTCAGTGATGAGACTCTGCAGCCTGAAGGTGAGTGGCTCCCCCCAGCCCTAGGGCCTCCCTGGGACTCCAGCACCAGAGGCACCAGGGGAGGCCCCAGCTCTGGGGGCTCAACTAAAGTCTTTCCAAGTCCCACCAAGTCTCCCACAGGCTTTAGGCCAAAAGATTTGGTGCTGCCTACGAGAAACCTAAACGCAATTTAATAGCTCTGCCTTCTAGAACTTTGGCTATCTTTACAAGATACAAGAGCACATTCATGCACAAATAATGTTATTTTGTCCCTGCTTTAAGAAGCAGTCCATGTTCATAGGGGCGCCTGGGTGGCTCAGTTGGTTAAGCGACTGCCTTCGGCTCAGGTCATGATCCTGGAGTCCCGGGATCGAGTCCCGCATCGGGCTCCCTGCTCGGTGGGGAGTCTGCTTCTCCCTCTGACCCTCCTCCCTCTCATGCTCTCTGTCTCTCATTCTCTCTGTCTCAAATAAATAAATAAAATCTTAAAAAAAAAAAAAAAAAAGAAGCAGTCCATGTTCATAATAAAAGATTTGCCAAACAGAAATAAAATAAATAGTAAAGAATAAATATGGAAGTAAAAAAAAAATCACCCATTACCTCTTTTTTTTTTTTTCCACCCATTACCTCTTGGGTGGATTTTTCTCCGGCTATTTTGTAGTCATATATCTGTAAGGAATTGTGCTCTGTTTTCCTTTTTTCTAAGTTGGAATTTTATGACATATATGTATGTACATTATGGTTTTCTTCCTAGTTTTTTGTTTTCATTTGCTTATGTTGTGAACATTTTCTCATGAGGTCATATTCTTCACAGCAGGACTGCGTGGTTCCCTGCCCTGTAGTTATAGCGTGAGTAGGCTGCCCAGCCTTTGCCCCCATGTGCCCCAACCTGTGTTGTCCCCTTTCCCAGTTGCAGCAGGGGATGAGTGCACCATCTGTTTCCACCGTGCTGCCAACGCCTGCCTTGTCCCCTGCGGCCACACACACTTCTGCAGCTACTGCGCCGAGCGGGTCTTCATGGACTCGGCCAAGTGTCCTGTATGTCGCTGGAAGATTGAGGCCGTGGCCCCCGCGTGGGGCCCCCCTACTCTGAGGACTGGACAGGGCCTCCGGGTGCGGGGGGCAGACTGAGTCTAGTTCTGAGCCTGGTGGAGGGTGGAGAGGGGCAGCCCCCCCCCCCCCGCGTTCTGGAGGAATCAGAAAAGCTGGTCAGCAGCAGGCCTAGCAGGGCGAGGGGGGTGGGGAGGCAATGGCTCCTCCCCCCTCCCCAACAGATTGGGGCCAGTGGAGAAAAGAGGAGCCCCTCTATCTCCCTGATGGTTCAGCAGGGAGCCCTCTGCTTAGTCAGGTTCATTTGCGCCCGGGGCTTGCCGAGGCTTTCGGCTGACCACCTGGTGCGGCCACCGTAGATTTAGCAATCCTGGTACTCATAGGTCATGTCAGGGAGAAGGGCCTTTATTCAGAGACGGGGCAGCCTGTTCCCTGGTTTTATAGCGGAGGAACAACAGATACCGGCATGTATCTGGTAGAAGCCCGGCCCATCCTGGGGTATCGAGGAGCCTGGAGCAGACGCAGGGAGGCATCTGGGTGGAATGTTTACACTCCGATGTGAAAGCTGGGTCATCCCTGATAAGCCCTCCATAAAGCGGATGAGCAGTCACCCGCCCTGCCCGCCCTGCAGGGTGATCGTGAGGTCCCAGTGAGAGAGCATAGCTGAAGATGTTTCTGCACATGAGACTGCGCTGTTGTGACTGTGCTTATTTCCTTGCCAATTTCGGAGGCGTCAAAATAAAGTTTGTCTCTTGTGAATGATTATGTAATGAGTATGTCCCCTTTGCTGCAGTCAGGGCGGGGGTGTGGATGGAGCTGTGGGCTGTCGGGATGCTAGGGCATTTGGGAACATAAGCCCTGTCCTCTCTGCAGACACACCCTAGGCTTGCGGTGGACTGGGTGGGGCTCGGCCGCTCAGGCCTGTGGACTTTATTCTGTTGAGCACACGAAGGGGACAGTTCTGTGCTCCCAGCCCTGAGGTCACAGCCAGGCTTTGCCCTTGCCATTCTCGATCTGAGGGGACTGCCAGGAGGCTCTGGCTCCTGAAGGAAGGGAGAAGTTGACCCGGGAGCCCCCCTCAGCAGGTGCTTGGGTTGGGGCAAGCCATACCTATTACTTTGCTGTTGTTCCTTGCTCTGGGCCTAGTGGGGCGGTATCTCCTGGGAGAGAGGACTAAGAGGGTGGTTCCAACCTATTGTGCTCAAAATTGTAATGATGGGCACCTTCATAAACTGCCTCCCTACCCACACCATTGCCAACCAGTGGGTTGGGACATTGGGTTTCGGGGACACTGGAATAGCTTACACTCTGGAGTGGGATCGCCTCTCCAACACTCATGAATGGTCTAACCTTGGTCTTGTGGCTTGACTCCTGTGAGCCTCAGTTTCTTCATCTGTAAAGTGGAAATAAGATCATCTTCTTTGCTGGTAAGTGTGAGAATCGTTGAGTATGAAACTTGTAGCTTAGATGAAGTACTCAAAATATGGCATCTCCCTTCCCGTGAAAAAGGCATCTCCTAGGGGAAGCCGCCAAGAGATCAATGGACCAGGTGTCAGGGATCTGGATGTGAGTCCTGGCAGCCCACTGACTTTTACCAAGGGCCCGCATGTCATCCCCAGTCTCTTGGAATGATTTCTATGGATCCCTTTTTCATCCTTTAGGTGTCTTTTTGTTTTTAAATCCAGATGCCTCTAGAACAAGTGCAGTACTTTCATCCTATTTCCGGTGAACACCTTCTTATTAGTTAATGCGTGAGCAAGCCTGATCTTAGAAATGATCTCTGACCAGAGCAGGGGGACTTCTGGAATAGTGGAGTAAGGAGTCTTGTAAATCCATTCTTCCATAAAAGCAACAAAAATATTGGCAAGATTACAAAAATCAACTTTTCCAGAACTCTAGATATTAACCGAAGGCTAACAACAATCTGAAGAGGGGTTTATCCAAGAGAAACTGCTCAATTTTGGTAAGAACAATGGGGTTTACGGGGTTTTAATGGCCAACTGCCACCCCTCTAGCCCCAGCTCCACAGTAGTCTTTAAAACCAGCAGCCTTGCAGCTGGTAGAGGGGACAGATTGGGTTAGGAGCACCTCAGAAAGTTCTGTCACCCAACCATCATCATTGTTTGACCTCTATGGCAGTTCATTGGAAAAACTTGATTTACAGGGTGTTATTACTTAATCCAAGTTGGAGCTCTCTACTCGGGAAAACCCCAAATCCCAGGGCATTTGTCAAATATAATCAGCTTCAATTGCTTAACCTCACAGCTGCCAAAGACTGCGATACCAGTTGGGGGGCAAACGTGAGCCCAGCCAAAAATTTAAAAGGGAGGTCTGAGAAATTGGATGTATCTAGGAGAATTTGAGAAGCTCTGGTGTATTTCAGGGGATCTAAAAGATTATGTGCATGGTCTGGAAAGGCCTGAAGGGCCTCAGTCTCTCGCTTCTGGCTGACCTTGAGGTCCTGTACACGCAGGAAATAAAGACTAAGACAAAGCTGTAAATTGCTTGAGCATTGAAGGCATGCCTCAACCCCCAGAGCTCCTTGGCAAAAAGTGGAAGATTTTCTAGCTCAAGGCATTTAAGGAAATCTCTAATCATGAGCTGACCCAGTGGAATCATCAGTGGCTGCACACTACAGGAAATATAGACCTCACAGAACTAGTCCAGGAAAGTCACTGAACAAACAAAAATACAAACAGTGGTGGCAAACCCCAGCAGGGATGGTGCTGGGTGGTGCTGGTGGATGTGTCTAGTATTCAGAGTTGCCATATTATGTTATCTAGAGGACCCGGTTTTCAAAGGGAAAAAAAAAAAAAAAAAAAAAAAAAAAAAAATATATATATATATATATATATATAGCCTGAAAAGAAACAGGAAAGTATGGCCCATTTCAGTCTCTAGAAACTGCCCTTGAGGAAGGCTAGATGTTGAACTTACTAGATAGAGATTTTCTTTTTCTTTTTTTAATTTTAATTAATTTCTTTTTTTTTAGTTTTTTACTTTATTTTTTAAGGTTTTTAAAAAAATTTGTTTTTGAGAGAGAGAGGGAGAGAGCACGCATGTGCGTATGAACAGCAGGGAGGGGCAGAGGCAGAGGCAGAGGGAGAAGCAGACTTCCCGCTGAGCAGAGAGCCCCACACAGGGCTCAATCCCAGGACCCTGGAATCATGACCTGAACTGAAGGCAGACACTTAACTGACTGAACCACCCAGGCGCCCCAGTTTTTTATTTTAATTCCAGTATAGTTCACATACAGTGTTATATTTAGTTTCAGGTGTACAATATAGTGATTCAACAATTCTATACATTATTCAGTGCTCATCACGATAAGTATACTCTTCATCCCATTCACCTATTTCACCCATCTCTCCACCCCCACCATCCCAACCCCCTGCTCTGGTAACCAGTTTGTTCTCTACAGTTAAGAGTCTGTTTCTTGCTTTGTCTCTCTCTCTTTTCTTCCTTTGTTTTGTTTATCAAATTCCACATGAGTGAAATCACATGATATTTGCTTTCTCTGACTTATTTCACTTAGCATTATACTCTCCAGCTCTACGTGTGTTGTTGCAAATGGCAAGATTTCATTCTTTTTTATGGCTGAATAATATTCCATTGTGTATATGTACCACATCTTTATCCATTCATCTATGGATGGACACTTGGGCTGCTTCCATAATTTGTCTATTGTAAATAATGCTGCAATAAACATAGGGATGCATATATCCTTTTGAATTAAGTGTTTTTGTATTCCTTAGGTAAATATCCAGTGGTGTGATTACTGGATCATAGCATAGTTCTATTTTTAGTTTTTTGAGGAAACCTCACACTGTTCTTCCAGAGTGGCTGCACCAGAAATGCACTGCATTCCCCCCAACAGTGCACAAGGGTTCCTTTTTCTCCACATCCTCACCAACACTTGTTTTTTTGTGTTTTTGATTTTAGCCATTCTGACAGGTGTGAGGAGATATCTCATTGTAGTTTTGATCTGCATTCCCCTGATGATGAGTGATGTTGAGCAATTTGTTATGTGTCTGATGGCCATCTGTATTAGACAGAGACTTTATTTTTTTAAGATTTATTTATTTGAGGGCGCCTGGGTGGCTCAGTTGTTAAGTGTCTGCCTTCAGCTCGGGTCATGATCCCAGGGTCCTGGGATCGAGCTCCGCATCAGGCTCCCTGCTCCGCAGGAAGCCTGCTTCTCCCTCTCCCACTCCTGCTTGTGTTCCTGCTCTCGCTAGCTGTCTCTCTGTCAAATAAATAAATAAACTCTTAAAAAAAACAGATTTATTTATTTGAGAGAGAGAGCACGCACATGGGGGAGAGGAGAAGAGGGAGAGAGAAACTCAAGGAGACTCTGCACTGAGCATGGAGCCTGAGGCAGGGCTTGATCCCATGACCCTGAGATCACTACAAGATCTGAAACCAAGAGTTGGACACTCAACTGATCATGCCACCCAGGCACCCCTAGACAGAGACTTTAAATCAGCTATTATAAATATGTGCAAAGTATTAAAGGAAACCATGTCTAAAGAATTAAAGGACAGTATGTTATCAGTCTCACCAAATAGAGAATATCAATAGACAGACAGAAATTATAAAAACAACCAAATAGAAATTCTGGAGTTGAAAAGCATGATATCTGGAAAAAAAAAATTCACTAGAGGGGCTTGACAGCAGATTTGAGCTGCATGAGAAAGGATCAATGAATTTGAAGATAAATTAATGCAGATCAGGGGCGCCTGGGTGGCTCAGTCGTTAAGCGTCTGCCTTCGGCTCAGGTCATGATCCCAGGGTCCTGGGATCGAGCCCCGCATCGGGCTCCCTGCTCCGCGGGAAGCCTGCTTCTCCCTCTCCCACTCCCCCTGCTTGTGTTCCCTCTCTCGCTGTGTCTCTCTCTGTCAAATAAATAAATAAAATCTTAAAAAAAAAAATTAATGCAGATCATCTAGTCTGATGAAAAGGAAAAAGACGGCAAAAAATGAATAAAGCCTTAGAGACCTGTGAGGCATCACCAAGTCTCCATCATACACATAACAGAAATACCAGAAGGAGAACAGAGAAAAGGAAAGGAAAAAAAAAATACCAAAAAGTTTATAAATTTGAGGGCTTGCCCCGCCCCCAGGGGGAGGGGATGCTGAGGCTCCACCCACACACCTTGCATGAAGCCGGTCTGCTCAGAACCATAGCTGCCCCCACTGGTTAAGAGAGGTGTAGGGGCAGCCTGGGGAACTGGCCAGGAACTCCCCTGCTGTGAGTTCCCTGGCGGTGAGGCACAGAGAACATCCTCGTGGAGCAGATGGCCCTAAGCTGGGCCCAAGTGTGTGAGATCCTGAGGGAAGAGCTGTACCACATATCTTCATCATCATGGGTGCATCAGGCAACTTAACCAAGAAGATCTACCCTACCATCTGGTGGCCGTTCCAGGATGGCCTTCTGCCCAAAGACACCTTCATCGTGGGCTACACCCACTCCCACCTCATAGTGGCAGACATATGAAAACAGAATGAACCTTTCTTCAAAGCCACCCCAGAGGAGAAGTCCAAGCTGGAGGAGTTCTTTGCTTACAACTCCTATATGCCTGGCCAGTATGATGACACCGCCTCCTAGGAGTGCCTCAACAGCCACATGAATGCCCTCCACCAGGGGCAGCAGGCCAACCACCTCTTCTACCTGGCCTTGCCCCCCACTGTCTATGAGGCAGTCACCAAGAACATCCATGACACCTGCATGAGCCAGACAGGCTGGAACCATGTCATTGTGGAGAAGCCCTTCCAGAGAGACTGGCAAAGCTCCAGCTGGCTCTCCAACAACATCTCCTCTTTCTTCTGGGAGGACCAGATCTACCGCATCGACCATTACCTGGACAAGGAGATGGTCCAGAACCTCATGGTGCTGAGGTTTGCCAACAGGATCTTCAGCCCTATCTGGAACCAGGACAACATTGGAGCCCTTTGGCACTGAGGGCCGCAGGAGCTACTTTGAAGAATTTGGGATCATCCAGGATGTAATACAGAACCACCTCCTGCAGATACTGTGTCTGGTGGCAATGGAGAAGCCGGTCTCCACTGATTCCAATGATGTCTGTGATGAGAAGGTGTTAAAACGTATCTCAGAGATGCAGGCAAACAATATACTACACTTATTTATTCTCCAGTGTGGCACCCAAGAATGCAGATAAGGCTGTGCTTATAGTAGGATAGATTCTAGTATCTGGTGCTTTTTTCGAGTTAATTTGATAAATGAATGAAGAAATGATTGAGTCAGTGTCATTAAAATGAGGATTCTAATTCTCATCCTGCCATTTATAAGGGCAATCCTCTTCCCTGGGCCAGAGTTTTCCTATCTATAGGAGAAAAGGTTTAAGATCAATCCTTTCATTTTATAATTTTGTTAAAGATTTATTCATTTATTTGAGAGAAAGAGAGAGAGAGAGAGAGCATGAGAGGGGGAGGGGCAGAGGGAAAGGGAGAGATAGAATCCTCAAGCAGACTCCCCGCTGAGTGTGGAGCCTGAGGTGGGGCTTGATCCCAGGACCCCGAGATCATAGCCCGAGCTGAAATCAAGAGTCAGCCACCCAACCAACTAAGCCACCCAGGCCCCATCAATGATGAGAGAATAATTTTGAAATCTAAAAATTTATAGTCTATTCTCCCACTCAAACATGAGGGCAAAATGAGATTCTCCCATATAAAAAGAATTCCTTTTTCATTTACAGATACTTTATGAAAAAATTATTAGAGGAGTTTTTCAGAAAGAGGAAAAAACAAGAAAAAGTAATGCAATAGTGATTAGTGAAAGAAAAAAGTTTAGTCTAAATAAATGTTAATTTTATGAAAAAATTCAAAAATAATCTGGAATGAAAACCACAGATGATATCATCATGGATGGAATGGAGAGCAGCAAAAGCATGCTAAGTTTCCTTTCTCACTAGAAATAGGTAATTATTAACAATAAAAGTGAGAAAAAGATAAATTTAGTTGATATGTCAAAGAACATACAAACAAAACGTAGAAGACTACAAACAGAATATATAAATTCCAAACCATTAAAAGAAAAGTAATAGAATTTCAATTCCAGTAATCCAACAAAAGGCAGAAAAGTAAATAAAAGAACAAAAAGTAGGTAGGAATAAGTCGTAACCAAGTAGTACTCATAATAAATGTGATGGGTTAAATTTACTTATTGATTGATAGGGATTTTCAGTTTGAACAAATAAAAAAAATAAAAATAACTCCAGGAAATATAATCCAGTTACATCTTGTCTCTAAAAGATGCACTTAAAATCTGAAAAGACTGCAAATAAAGGAAAAGAAAATGATATCAAGCAAATTCAAACAGCAAGAAAACAGATTGTGGCAGGCCATGATCAGACTTGCCTTGGAGATCCCTCAAGATAATGTAAATGGAGAATGCCTAGGCCTTGTAGGACAGGCGCAGATAGGAGGAGATTGCCCAGTGCTGACTTAGAAAGAACTCAGGTATCAGGTCAGGGGCCACGCTCTCTGAATTTATGCTGTGTATGTAGAATTGGTCATTTTTGGTGCTAGAGTGAGACCACAATTCTACACTTCTCAAACACCTGCATCTTACTCCATGAAGACCACCAAACTTTGAGCATAATCCTATGAGAAATAAGAGGACAATAGGGAGCACCCAGTTGCCTCAATCAATAGAGGATGTGACTCTGGATCTTGGGGTTGTGAGTTTTGAGCCCCATGTTGGGTGTAGAGATTACTTTAAAAATAAATAAATATTTTATTTTATTTTTTAAAGATTTTATTCATTTGACACAGAGAGAGAGACAGCAAGAGAGGGAACACAAGCAGGGGGAGTGGGAGAGGGAGAAGCAGGCTTCCCGCTGAGCAGGGATTCTGAGATCATGACCTGAGCCGAAGGCAGGCTCAGCCTAATGACTGAGCCACCCAGGCGCCCCTAAAAATAAATAAATATATATATTTAAAGATTTTATTTATTTATTTGAGAGAGAATGAGATAGAGAGCATGAGAGGGGGGAGGGTCAGAGGGAGAAGCAGACTCCCCGCTGAGCAGGGAGCCTGATGCGGGACTTGATCCTGGGACTCCAGGATCATGACCTGAGCTGAAGGCAGTCGCTTAACCAACTGAGCCACCCAGGTGCCCCTAAATAAATATTTTAAAAATAATAAAATAAAAGGTGTTTTGTTTTAAGCAGCAAAGCAAGGTTTATTGAGCGATAGCAAAGTGAAAATACAAAGCTCCAGAGGAGGGAGGGGACCTGAGAGGGTTGCCACTGGAATTTCTAAGTCTAGGAATTTTTATGAGCTTGTAGCGGGCAGTTTTAATCAGATTAACCCTCCCTGAGCCTGGCATCCAATCAGGTTTTTGTCACACAGTAAAGGGTGGAGGACTCCTTCCAGGGTGGTGTAAAATCCTTTTAAGGGTGGTTTCCTTGGAGAGTCCAAGATGGCAGAGGAGTAGGAGACCTAAATCTCCTCTGGTTCCAGGAATTCAGCCAGATGGTTATCACACCATTCAGAACACCTACGAACTCAACAGGAGATCGAAGAAAAGAATAGCAACAACTCTCTGAACAGAAAAACGACCACTTTCTGGAAGGTAGGATGTGCGGAGAAGTGAATCCGAGGCGATAATCAGGAGGATAGACAGCAGGGGAGGGGCCTCCATCGGCTACTTCTGGCACGTGATAGAGCAGCAGAGCACAAATCGGAACTTTTAGAAGTCTGCTCCCCTAAGGGACGTTGCTCCAGTGGCTAAGCAGGGGGTGGAACCCTCGCTGGGACAGTGTGGTCTCAGGACCTTCGGGGTTACAGAAAGACTGGGGGTGCCTGAGTGCGGCAGAGCTCCCAGGTATTGGAGTGGGGAAGCCGGCTGCAGAGACGGAGCCGAGGTGCGGGCTCTCAGCTCGGGGTTGCCGTAAACTGTGATCATGGCATAGTCGGGCCACTGCTCCTCCAGCAGGGACCCAACAAGAGGCAGATCCGGGGAGACTCCCCTTCCTCCCCCAGGAGGAGCGGCAGGGGAGCCCACCGCAGGGATCTGCTGGGTTTGGAGACTCCACACGGGGTCATGTGCCAGAGATAGAAACGCTCGGTCACAGGCCGGGTGAGCACAGAGTCCGGCCATAGACCGGGGAGATGGGAGTGATTGACAGCTTTTCTCTGGGGGCTCACTGAGGAGTGGGGCCCTGAGTTCTCGGCTCCTCTGGGACCAGAGATTGGGAGGCCACCATTTTCACTCTTGTTCTCCAAGCTGTATGGAAAGCTTCCAGGGAACAAAAGCTCCCGAGAGCAAACCTGAGCAGATTACATAGCCTGGTCCCTGGCAAGGGCGGGGCAACTCCCCCTGGGACAAAGACACCTGAGAGTCACTGTGACAGACCCCTCCGCCAGAAGATCAGCAAGAACATCCCACCAAAACCAAGTTTACCGATCAATGAGAACTGAAAATCTCCAGTGCTAGGGGAATACAGCACATAGAATTCATGGCTTTTTTCTGATGATTCTTTAGTCTTTCAAAGTTAATTTTTAAAATTTTCTTTATTTTTTCTTTTTCTTTTTTTTTTTTAATTTTTCTTCTTTTTTTTTTCAACCAACTTCTTACCTTATCAATTCCTTTTTAAAAAATCTTTTTTAGGGGTGCCTGGGTGGCTCAGTTGGTTAAGTGGCTGCCTTTGGCTCAGGTCATGATCCCAGGGTCCTGGGATTGAGCCCCACATCGGGCTCCCTGCTCAGTGGAGAGTCTACTTCTCCCTCTCCCTCTGCCTGCCTCTCTGCCTACTTGTGCTGTCTATCTCTCTGTCAAATAAATAAATAAAATCTTTAAAAGAACTATTTTTTAGTGTTCATTTTTACAGTCATATTCTATCCCTTCATTGTATTTAACCTTATTTTTGTGTATATATAAGTTTTTATTTCTTTAAAATTTTGGGATGCAGTTTCTTCTAACAGACCAAAATACACCCAAAATCTAGCATATGGCTCTGTTCTATTCACCAGCCTAATCATATTCTCTTTTATCCCCCTCCCCCACCCCCTGGTTTCAGGTCTCTTCTGATTTGTTTAGTGTATTTTTCTCTGGGGTCATTGTTGTCCTTTTAGTATTTTGTTCTCTCGTTCATCTATTCTTCTCTGGACAGAATGACAAAACGGAAAAACTCACCTCAAAAAAAAAGAACAAGAGGCAGTACCCACTGACAGGGACCGAATCAATATGGACATTAGTAAGATGTTAGTACTAGAGTTCAGAATAATGATTATAAAGATATTAGCTGGGCTTGAAAAAAGCATAGAAGACACTAGAAAATCCCTTTCTGGAGAAATAAAAGAACTAAAATCTAACCAAGTCAAAATCAAAAAGGCTATTAATGAGGTGCAATCAAAAATGGAGGCTCTAACTGCTAGGATAGATGAGGCAGAAGAGAGAATTAGTGATCTAGAAGACCAAATGATGGAGAATAAAGAAGCTGAGAAAAAGAGATAAACAGCTACTGGATCATGAGGGGAGAATTCTAGAGATAAGTGATACCGTAAAGTGAAACAATATTAGAATAATTGGGATCCCAGAAGAAGAAGAAAGAGAGAGAGGGGCAGAAGGTATTTTGGAACAAATTATAGCAGAGAACTTCCCTAATATGGGGAAGGAAACAGGCATCAAAATCCAGGAGGCACAGAGAACCCCCCTCAAAATCAATATAAATAGGTCAAAACCCTGACATCTAATACTAAGACTTACAAATATCAGAGACAAAGAGAAAATCCTGAAAGCAGTTCAGGACAAGAGGTCTGTAAACTACAACAGTAGAAACATTAGATTGGCAGCAGACCTATCCACAGAGACCTGGCAGGCCCGAAAGGACTGGCATGATATATTCAGGGTACTAAATGAGAAAAATATGCAGCCAAGAATACTATATCCAGCTGGGCTGTCATTGAAAATAGAAGGAGTGATAAAAAGCCTCCAGGACAAACAAAAACTAAAAGAATTTGCAATCACCAAGCCAGTCCTACAAGAAATATTGAAAGGAGTCCTCTAAGCAAAGAGAGCCCAAAAGTAACAGAGACCAGAAAGGGACACAGACAATATACAGTAACAGTTACCTTACAGGCAATACAATGGCACTAAATTCATATCTTTCAATAATTACCCTGAATGTAAATGGGCTAAATGCCCCAATCAAAAGACACAGGGTATCAGTTGGATAAAAAAGCAAGATCCGTCAATATGCTGTCTGCAAGAGACTCATTTTAGATGCAAAAACACCTCCAGATTTAAAGTGAGGGGGTGGAAAGCCATTTATCATGCTAATGGACATCAAAAGAAAGCTGGGGTGGCAATCCTTATATCAGACAAATTAGATTTTATTTATTTATTTAAAAAAATTTGGGGGGACGCCTGGGTGGCTCAGCCATTTAGTGTCTGCCTTCAGCTCAGGTCATGATCCCAGGGTCCTGGGATCGAGTCCCGCATCGGGTTCCTTGCTCGGCAGGGAAGCCTGCTTCTCCCTCTCCCACTCCCCCTGCTTGTGTTCCCTCTCTCGCTGTCTCTCTCTCTCTGTCAAATAAATAAATAAAAATCTTAAAAAAAAAAAATTTTTTTTTTTTAAAGGGGGGAGTGGGAGAGGGAGAAGCAGGCTTCCTGCTGAGCAGGGAGCCCAATGTGGGGCAGCTCAATCCCAGGACCCTGGGATCATGGCCTAAGCTGAAGGCAGATGCTTAATGACTGAGCCACTCAGGAGCCCCAGACAAATTAGATTTCAAACCAAAGACTGTAATAATAGATGAGGAAGGACACCATATCATACTTAAAGGGTCTGTCCAACAAGAAGTTCTAACAGTTGTAAATATTTATGTCCCAAACATGGGAGTAGCCAATTATATAAGCCAATTAATAACAAAATCAAAGAAACACATCAACAATAATACAATAATAGTAGGGGACTTTAACACTCCCCTCACTGAAAATGGACAGATCATCTAGGCAAAAAATCAACAAGGAAATAAGGTGGTTTTTTAAAAATATTTTATTTATTTATTTGAGAGAGAGAGAGAATGAGAGAGAGAGAGCATGAGAAGGGGGAGGGTTAGAGGGAGAAGAAGACTCCTTGCTGAGCAGGGAGCCCGATATGGGACTCGATCCCAGGACTCCAGGATCATGACCTGAGCCGAAGGCAGTGGCTTAACCAACTGAGCCACCCAGGCACCCCAGGAAATAAGGGTTTTAAATGACACACTGGACCAGATGGATTTCACAGATATATTCAGAACATTCCATCCTAAAGCAACAGAATACACATTCTTCTCTAGTGCACATGGAACATTCTCCAGAATAGCTCACATCCTGGGTCACAAATCAGGTCTCAACTGGTACCAAAAGATTGGGATCATGCCCTGCAAATTTTCGGACCACAGTGCTTTGAAACTTGAACTCAATTACAAAAGAAAAGTTGGATAGAACTCAAATACATGGAGGCTAAAGAGCATCCTACTAAAGAATGAATGGGTCAACCAGGAAATTAAAGAAGAATTTAAAAAATCCATGGAAACAAATGAAAATGAAAACATAACTGTTCAAATTCTTTGGGATGCAGCAAAGCCTGTCCTAAGAGGGAAGTATATAGAAATACAAGCCTTTCTCAAGAAACAAGAAAGGTCTCAAATACACAACATAGCTCTACACCTAAAGGAGCTGGAAAAGAACAGCAAATAAAGCCTAAACCCAGCAGGAGAAGAGAAATAATAAAGATTAGAGCAGAAATCAATGAAATCGAAACCAGAAGAACAGTAGAACAGATCAACAAAACTAGGAGCTCGTTCTTTGGAAGAATTAATAAGCCTGATAAACCCCTGGCCAGACTTAACAAAAAGAAAAGAGAAAGGACCCAAATAAATAAAATCATGAATGAAAGAGGAGAGATCACAACCAACACCGAAGAAATACAAAGAATTATAAGAACATATTATGAGCAACTATATGCCAACAATTTAGGCAATCTGGAAGAAATGGATGCATTCCTAGAGATGTATAAACTACTAAAACTGAACCAGGGAAGAAATTGAAAACCTGAACAGACCCATAACTAAAGGAAATTGAAGCAGTAATCAAAAATCTCCCAACAAACAAGAGTCCAGGGCCAGATGGCTTCCCAGGGTAATTCTACCAAACATTTAAAGAGGAATTAATACCTATTCTTCTGAAACTGTTCCAAAAAATAGAAATGGAAGGAAAACTTCCAAAGTCATTTTATGAGGCCAGCATTACCTTGATCCCAAAACCAGACAAAGACCCCACCACAAAGGAGAATTACAGACCAATATCTCTGATGAACATGGATGCAAAAATTCTCACCAAAATACTAGCCAGTAGGATCCAACAGTACATTAAAAGGATTATTCACCATGACCAAGTGGGATTTATTCCTGGGCTGCAAGTTTGGTTCAACATCCGCAAATCAATCAATGTGATACATACATTAATAGAAGAAAGGACAAGAACCATATGATCCTCTCAACAGATGCAGAAAAAGCATTTGACAAAGTACAGCATCCTTTCTGGGTTAAAACTCTTCACAGTGTAGGGATAAAGGATACATACCTCAATATCATAAAGGCCATCTATGAAAAACCCACAGCGAATATCGTTCTCAGTGGGGAAAAACTGAGAGCTTTCCCTCTAAGGTCAGGAACACGGCAGGGATGTCCACTATCACCAAGGCTGTACAACATAGTACTAGAAGTCCTAGCCTTGGCAATCAGACAATAAAAAGAAATAAAAGGCATCCAAATCTGCAAAGAAGAAGTCAAACCCTCTTTGCAGATGATATGATACTTTACGTGGAAAGGCCAAAAACTCCACCCCAAAACTGCTAGAACTCATAGGAATTCAGTAACGTGGCAGGATATAAAATCAATGCACAGAAATCAGTTGCATTTCTATACAACAACGAGACAGAAGAAAGAGAAATTAAGGAGTCGATCCCATTTACAATTGCACCCAAAACCATAAGATACCTAGGAATAAATCTAACCAAAGAGGCAAAGAATCTTTACTCAGAAAACTCTAGAATACTCATGAAAGAAATTGAGGAAGACACAAAGAAATGGAAAAATGTTCCATGCTCATGGATTGGAAGAACAAATATTGTTAAAATGTCTATGCTACCTAGAGCAATCTACACATTCAATCCCTATCAAAATACCGTCCACCTTTTTTCACAGAGCTGGAACGAATAATCCAAAATTATGATTTTGATGAGATTTAAGGAAAATAACATTTCAGAAGACTTATCTCTGTCTTGTGGCTTCAAGACTAGTTTGAGGTCCTCTCTGGGTTCACAGAGGGATTTCAGTTCCTTGTTGTTAGGCCCCATTGGGGACCAGGGTTTGACCTGGGAATGGTGGATCCAGACTTCAAACTTAGAGGGGGGATATCCTGGTATCCACAAGCAACAGGGTCCTGTTATGCCCAAAAAACCTTTCCGACAAGGGAAAGTTGTGGGGTCCTTAAGGTGGACCCCACTTAGTGGTCCTGCTGTTAAGGGGCACTGCTGTTAAGGCCCAAACCACTTCAGCCTGAGTTTCCCAGACCTGGGAATTAATATCAGCCTCTATTAAAGGGAGGCAATTGCTAGTTTGCCCAGGGGCTCTCAATATGAGAGTTAATATCTCTACCTAAGAGAAGTGTGGGACTCTCAGGCATTAAGAATGAGTGAGAGGGGCACCTGGGTGGCTCAGCCGTTAAGCATCTGCCTTCGGCTCAGGTCATGGTTCCAGGATCCTGGG